CAGCAAAGGGGGAGAAAAGCCTACGCCAGAACAAGCAGAAAAGGACAAATCTAAGCACATCGTCCACCAATTACTGAATGAGTCTCTTCCTCTTGGGAATAAGCCAGATCAGTTAAACAGTCATGTCTCATTTCAGAAGGCAGTGTTGCAAGTGGGCTTCCATTAAATTAGGCCTCTTTATGGTGTAAGTAACTAGGTATTTAGTAAGACATATCCCTACAGAAACAAAAGAAAAACAAAGGTTAGTGGTTGAAGCAAATTATCAGATTTTGAGACAAATTATCCAAAAGGGCAGCCAATTGAGATTTCTAGATATTGGGTTTACAGTGTCTTTTGATGGTGAAGCTTTTATTTGATATTTCATTTTCTTCATTTGGAAACTTTAACCATGAGACAGTATCATATAACAAAACTGACTAGTTTATAGTAGAACAATGGGATCCAAATTGTGTTTACAGAGGCTGGAACAAGTTAAGGTTATCACTCAGATCATGCTATTCCATTTGTCTGTGTAGGGATGCTTTTATGCTAGTACCAATCTATTTTGATTGCTGTAGCTCTGTAGTATGTTTTGAAATCAGAAAATACAAGATCTCTAATTTTGTTGTTTTTTTTTTTTTTTTAAATTACTTAGGCACTTTGGGATCATTTGGTATTCCACATGAATTCTGGGATAAATTTTCCTAATTCTGCAAAAATATCAGAATGATTTTGATGGAGATTGCATTGACTCTGTACATCACTTTGTGTGGTACTGACATTTTAATAATATCAACTCGTCTAGTCCTTGAACACAGGATGTCTTTCCTTTAATTTGTGTCTTTGATTTGTCTTCTAGCAATGTTTTGTATTTTTCATTGTACATGTTTTTTAAATTTCAAACACAAAAATTTCAAGTAGTCACTCAGAATAAAATAACTTAGTTTCACCACTTAAACTTTATAATCATTGAGGTATTGTTGCTTCCCCCCACTGTGAACAGCTGCCTGAATCTGATGTCCCACATTCTAGTCACCTACAAAGGATCCAGTAATAAAGCATTTTGTGCCAGGCCTCTCACTAGCTGTTAGGTAGTAATGTAGGGTGACTGCCTATGGGTCAGTCACCCAGTCCGATGCCATCCCCAATGGCCAGAGGGACGCATGAGCTATCCTCAAGATGAAGCCTCTGCAAACACTTGCCTTTCTCCCATTTTTCTTTATTTATTTGTCCCTTTCCCAGCTCTTACGACTTCTTTGCCATCTGGCTTCTCTCTTTTCTCCCCCTTTCTCTTTCCATTTTTCCCTCTCTATGACAGCCTCTGTATATACAGAGATACGAAACTCCACTGTCCTCTCTATAAAAATAATAAATTCTTTCTTTTATGACATGCAGCTTCTCATGCTTAACCAAAAGCAGATACGAGAGTTGGCTAACTTCATTCACCATCTTTCAGACAATTCCAAGTTGGTTTTTAGCCTTTAGTTACCCAATTATTAAATTATGATTTCACATCGAATCCTTTACCATGATTTCTCGCCAGATAGTAGATGTCCTGTGACAGGTACAATAGGGAGAGGAGACCAGCGTGTCACGTGATAAAGAGCCCCCTCTTACCAGTCCCATTCACACAGCAGGCCCATAGCACTGCCCTGGTCAGTACCGACTGTGCTCTAGCCTTCTTTCTATTTTTTTTCTGAAAAGACCATCAAATGTTACAAGAAAGCTCAGATGAATTGTTTTTAAAAACATAATTTCATCTTCTAACATTAACTTCAAGTTTTACGTACTCCTCCCACATACATAAGGATTTTTTTTTTATCTTCCTACAATTATAACCAGGGACACATTGCCCTGCTACTCCCAGCTTAGTCATCCAAGAAAAGTTGAAGTTGTGGCAGCAGGAAGGAGCCAAATGCTTCTCTAATATTTTGTGCAAACTTTCACCACACCCACTATGTGAACACAACAGGACACAAATATTAATAAATAAGACATGGTCAAAACATTAGGGGTTCACAAGAGAGAGAGAGGGAGGGAAGGAGGGAGAGAGAGAGAGAGAGAGAGAGAGAGAGAGAACAATGTACTCTTGTTCTTCCAAAGGGCTGTTGCCAATTTTTCATCATTTCTTCCAATCTGTCCAAGCAGCAAGGCAGAGACTCAACTAGTCAACAGTCCTCTGAAAACCCCAAAATTCCTTCCTTCCTGTCACTCAGGAGATAATTCTAAGAACTTCGAGGTTATCCCCAACCCTGACAGCTGTCTGAAAACATTTTTCCGGATATTGGCATCTCCACTCTCTGCTCAGAAAAATGCACCCTTTAGCCTAACTCTCCCTTTTCCACATTCTGGTCTCTCCTTAGAATGCCTCCCATAACCGGCTCCTTTCCATCTTTCCCATGGGAATGCTTGCTAGCCTTTGGGAAAATTCCCAATCTTTTCCCTCTGGAATGGGGCTCAGTCCAAGGAGTATCTACTTCAGTTCAGGTCAGAGGCTAAAACTCAGCGACACACAAGAGGTAGACATGACAAATGGTGTTCTTCCAACTTTGTTTGCATAATAAATATATGGGAACGTTCTTTACTTTTACAAAGAAATATGAGCTACCTTGTTCCTCCTTGAAACACAAGGCCCTTAGTGAACTTTTTTAATTGTCAGTTGTCAACCATTTGTATCAATTTTGACAGCAATAGGAATATATTAGAATAGTATTCATTTTCCTCCTAATTCTAAGAAAAACAATCGTGCAAGAATGGGGTGAAAATGACAATTGATAAAATGGCAGTAAATAATGGGGACCATCTGAATAAATAGGGACTACATTCACTCTAAAAAGATTACTACAGTTACTACAGATCTTCTGGCATAGTAGAAATCATGTTTTTTGAATGGTGACAGCTAATTCAATAGAATTTTAAATGCTGCAAAGGCTAAAGCAAACAAATTTTCAGGGTGTAGGTAGAGGCCAGCACTCAGCCTCTGGTACTATACATTCCAACAGTCACTTATCTAATTATATTTGCTTAATTTACAATAGATAATTGTAAAATTACACTTGTATAAAAATGGTGATAGTTATATCTATATATGTTCTATCTATATAATTATGCCTTTTATAGAGATAAGTAATCTGTTTCTGTATTCCTTCTCCATGTTTACGGTATATATGTGTTTTCTAACTTCACAACATCATTAATAGTATCATAAAGTCACACTCCTCTTTCTTTCCTACACAAGGAGTGAATCACAACACTTCTAAAACCAAAGTTTAGAATCAAAATACTTTCGAGATTAAATTATAGTAGTCCTACGTAGCTTTCTAGAGTGGCTAGAATTATCATCAGTAATCTTTCTTCCAAGTCCTTGTTCAGAGGAGAGCTGAGCAAATATGATTAGCATGTTGCACACACGTACACACAAATATAAGTATGATGAAAACTGAAATCACAATGTGTGGGAGTCACTTCTGTTAATACTGTAGTGTGATTTCTTTATGCTTGAGGAGCCCTATTCAGAAGACTCTTCCCACTCCTGAATTTCAATAATTTGGCATTCTCACCCCATCAGCATTTACCCTTCATGGACCTCTGCCTTTAGTGAAAGAGCAACTATATCTCTCCATTGTATCACCAGGCCTGGCCAGTCCTACTACATGGTTATTGTATAAACTGTTATCATCATCCAAATAAAAGTTCCACTTCCAGAGCGCTATGTGCTGAGTAGTTTACCTACATTATCCTGGAGGCTTCCCCCAACCAGACCATCCAAGACCAGCCACTTTCTAGCACATTATTTTTTCTCTGAGTAAGACTTACTGATATCTAATATATTCTCATTTAATTATGTCCCCCACCCCCCATTAAAATGAAAGGTCCAAGAGACTAGACATTTGCTTCATGCTTGGCACATAGAAAGGAAAAAAATTAATCTAAGCATCCCTCCTCCCGGGGTAGCAGATTTGATCTGGGCACAGTAGATCTCAAAAGATAAGTTTTTAAATTTATGTTTATGGGCCTCCCTGGTGGCGCAGCGGTTGAGCGCTGGGTTGCCAAGCTGCCTGCAGCCTCTGCAGCGCCAGTTCGATCCCTGGCTGCTCCCCGGTCACCGGAGGAGGGTCCCACATGGCGCGCAGACCTCTCCTGCCGCCCGCTGCTCCCCTGAGCAGTGTACTTCGGTCCTTCTGCCTGCTCTGCTCCCTGCTCTGGCTCTGGTGAATTCTCTCACCCTCCCGTGCTTCTGACTGTACCCAGTGCTTGTATGTATAAATCAATCAATCAATAAATCTTTAAAAAAAAATAAATTTATGTTTAGGTTTCAGGGTAGGTGGATTGAATATTTTTACGGTTCATAATGAACTGGGGGTGGCCAGTGAAGCAAAAAAAAAAAAAAAAAAAAAAGTTACATTCACCCAAGCAGTGGCTGACTCGGGTGAGGGAATTTTTGCTGCAATAATATAAAGCCACTTCCTCTGACAAGGTCCTCCATTTCTCTAGGTCTTGCCCCATCTTCTGCAGAGCTGGCTGGGCCGGCCAGGATTCCAGACGCTCACACTACAAAGAGGGGAGATGTGGGGTCGCCCCCAACGTAAGTGAAAGTGCAGGAGGGTCTGCGCGGATCCTTGAGGCCCCGCAGGGTGAGATGTGGGACTGCGGCAGCCGCCGGAGGGAGCCTGCCCGCCTGGGTGATTCTCGGTATGGGGGCACCGCTTTTGCTACGTTCAGCTTCCTTTTACCTCCAAAATCCCAAACTCCTTGCAGGGTCAGACCCTGCGCACGCCCAAACCTGCAGGTGGTGACGCCCTGGACCCCAGATCAGGGGATCTGCGCGCAGGAGTCCACCGGCTCTGGGAAAGGTCAGACGCCTGGCTGGACGCCAAACTGATCTCCGGGTGAGCCTGGCTTGGCTCCGCCCCCGCCCCGCCCACGTGGGACTAGGCCCCGCCCACAAACCGGCCCAGGCCCCGCCCACCCCCGCCCCGGCCCCGCCCCCGCCCCACAAATAGCGAGGCCGAGGGCGCCGTGCACCTACTTTCTGGAACCTGCGGGCTGCCGGCCTTCGCTGCCGAGCTTCCTCCCCTCCTCCCACCGCCGCCGCCGCCATGCCCGGAGGGCTCCTGCTCGGGGACGAGGCGCCCAACTTCGAGGCCAATACTACCGTCGGCCGCATCCGTTTCCACGACTATCTGGGGAGCTCGTAAGTGGCCGCCTCGCAGCCCCGCCGTGGCCTCGGCTACGCGGGGCTCGGGGCGCCCTCGCTATTCTTCTCCCTTCCCGCCTCCGCACCGGTTCCTGCACGTGCCCCCGGCCGGCGCCTCCGCCCAGAACTGGCCGCGCGCCTGCTGCGGGGGGCAGGTGACCCTCCGGCGCGCCCCGCCCGCCTCCGGGCCCGGGGAGCGCGCCCCCCGCCGCGGGGAGGGCCTGGAGGCGTGAAGTGCGGGCCCTGCAGGACCCGGAGCTGGAGCTGGAGCGCGGGCGCGCGTGGGGGCTGTTTCACTCGGGCTGGGCAGCTGCGAGTGGCATGGTCAGGCCGGCACCCGCGGGAGCCGCGGCCGGGCAGCGCCGGCGGACACCCCCCGAGACTGGGGCCCGAAGTCCTGCCCTCGCCTCCCCCCTCCTCCCTCCCCCCGTCCCTCGGTGGAAGTGGGTGTCTGAAGCCTGAGTCGGAGGATGTCTTGTTGGTCGAAGGCTCAGCGTGTTATTTGTGGGTTCTGATTGTTGTGCACTGGTTTTTGCAGGCTGTGAGGCACAAAATGTAACATTTAAATCGCCTCCCCGGTGGCGCAGCGGGTTGAGCCCAGCGCTGTGAAGCTGTCCGCAGGCGCTGGTTCGAGCCCCGGCTGGCCAGGGAGAGACCCGCATGGCGCAGCAGACCGCTGCTGTCTGGCCCGCTGCTCCCCTCAGCAGTGCTTTCGGCCCATCTGCCTGTTCTGCTCCCCACTTTCTCTGGTGAATCCTCTTACCCCACCCCCCAAACCTCTGGCCTGTACCCCAGCTCTTTAATGCGTAAATAAATGAATTTAAAAAAAAAAAAAAAAAAACCACCAGCTGCCCAATCACTGGCCGGAGGACTTATTGTCCAGAGCCGCCTCCACTGGCCAGGTTATGATTTGATAACAACTTTGGGAGGAACCGAGAACGGTCTGTATGTGGGTGTGTCTTTCAGTCCAAAGTTTGCAACACTTTGAGTGAAGGACTTTCTGAACTTGTTGGACTTTCTGAAGTTGTTCAGTTGCAGTGGCCTATTCTGGCCAGGGTTGGCCATTGCAGGACACGTGTACCTCCCCACTGGGAGACCCTTTGTTTCCCACCCTTTGTTTCCTAGCGTGTCCCCTCTCGCCTCCACTTCTGCCTCACTTCCAAAGGCAGGAGGCCTTGCTAAAGTACCGGCTATACTGTGAAGTTCTGAGGCTTAACAATCCGTCTTTCAGATTTGTACCCCTTTTACATAGAGGTGCGTGTGTGTATAAAAAGAAAGGGGGGAATTTATAAGCTTAATCAGTGATTGGACAAAGCCTGCAAGGAAGCTGGGGGAGATTTCTTAAACCTTAGGCCTACGGAACCTCTTAAGCCCATTTTCCAGGCACTGATTAAGGGAATATCTAGGCTGTGTCAAAGACAGGGTTAGGCTAGAAGAAAGAATGAGAAATGGAGCCTGCACTTCCTTTATGTCAGGAAACGATTTCAGAAATAGACTGAGGCCTGTCACATACTTGGAATCTAGGTATTAATATTTTTCCAAAATTCCATGGGTTTCCCATTTCCAACTATAGCCCTCACCCTCACAAAACAAAATCTTACCGGAATTCTTAAATTGAGTGGATTAAAGATAAATAGTGACACAAAGCATATTTACCATAGCAGTGATTATACTGTCACTCTTTAAGCTGACCCTACTTTGAGGTGTTTTTTTGTTGTTGTTGTCCGTTGGCCTCTGATTCAATCCTTGCTTGATTAAAAGCAGTGCCTTCTCAGGGAGCCACATAGTAGATGAAGAAAATATCTGCACCTATAAAGAACTACTACACAAGTTTGCCTCAGATGATAGTCCCTGCCCTATCCCAACATGAGTTCGAGCCCTTTACATCATGACACATGGATTTTTCCCAAATATGATTTTCCCCATAGTTCGTTCTATATGTGATTTCGGTTGAGAATGTCGATTTTTTATTTATTTATGGATACAAGAACAGGGGTACAGGCCAGAGTTGTGGGGAGTGAGAGGATTCTCCAGAGGCAGAGTGGGGAACAGAACAGGCGGATTATCTGAAATACACTGCTGAGGGGAGCAGCAGGCAAGGTCTGCAGTGCCATGTGAGTAGCTTCCTGGCAGGAGATCAAGCTTCTGCTGCAGTTGCTGCAGATAGCTTCATAGGTTGTGTCTTAAACCCCTTGGCACCACAAGGGAGGCCCCCCAGAATGTTGATTTTTTTTTTTTTTTTTTTTTTTTTTTTTTTATAGAGGCATGCTTTATTTATTTGTTTGCTGGTTTGTTTGTTTGTTTTGTTTATACATGCACTGGGTACAGTCAGAAGCGCGGGAGGGCGAGAGAATTCACCAGAGCCAGAGCGGGAAGCAGAGCAGGCAGAAGGACCGAAGTACACTGCTGAGGGGAGCAGCGGGCGGCAGGAGAGGTCTGCGCGCCATGTGGGACCCTCCTCTGGTGGCCGGGGAGCAGCCGGGGATCGAACCAGCGCCGCAGAGGCCGCGCGCAGCTTCGCAACCCAGCGCTCAACCGCTGCGCCATCAGGGAGGCCCCAGAATGTTGATTTTTGATGCAAGTTATTTTGGAGAAAAAATTTTAAATAATTTCAAATATTATGGTTATCTACCCTGCCCCTGAAACATGGAAACAACTAAGGGGATTGGTGCTGGATTTGATGATCTGAGTCTTCTATGATGTTTCTGTACATTTGATAAAAGAAGCTGCATCATAGTACATCTTCACCAAACAAAACATGTTTTCCTAGAGTTTTCCTGGGAGTTGGTAAGATAAGGGACACCTCCATTAAAGGAGGAAATCTTTTGTTTTTTAAAATGAGGACGGAAATGGGATAATGTAATTGAATCTCTCTTAAGAGCAGCAACAGAGAGACTTTGTAAGGGCGGGCAGGCCACTGTAAGAATTCTCAGTTTACCCTGTTCCTAGCCTCATGATTAACTGGAGTTTCTCTTCTGAAGAAGAGGAGGGTGTGAAGTAGCTTAAATTGGATTCCTTAGCATGATTCAGCAAGTCTCTTGACTTGCAATGGAAAAAAGAACTTCCAACTTTCTAATTAGTGACCCCTTTAACAACAGGAAGAGGCACACCCAGTCCCATTTCTTTGCAACTTCTGGGAATTTTCTCTTAAGTCTAACCTGACCCTTATACAGATCTTCTCCATAGATCCTAAGGCCTACATTTTACTCAAAGCTAGGTGATTTATTTAAAAAAATCCACGTTCCTCTTAACTGCCCTTTAAAAAAAAGGTTAACATGCCTCTCACCCCTCCACAGTCTTAACGACATTATCTGAAATATCACCATTGGGCCCTCCATCCTCCTTGTAAGAAGGTTTTTTCCTGAAACTGTTACAGGGCAACCCCAATGTGAAGTGGGTTGGCCTGACTGTGTTGTGGATCCTCACCTGCACGCTTCAAAGGGACATAAAATGAGACTCAACTGCAGGCATACACCAAACGGTTAATGAAGTGTTAGTTTACAAAAAGGGGAAATGAAATGATTAACTCAGAAAGAGAGAGAGATAAATTGGTGAATGTGGCCTACAAGTTCCACTGAGCTGGAACCCCAATAGCATGCTGAAAGCCAGTGAAAAACCAAAGACCCTAAAGGCCCACATTTCTGATTATATACCAAACCCGGCTGCTTAACTCCACCCTCAGTTCCCCGCAATCCTCCCTTCCATGGTAATGACAATATGGGATTTAGAGTCTTTGGTGCCTTGGAACTCTTTGGTCTGGGGTGGGGGTGGGGCCTATAAAACCTATTTGTGGAGTTTGTTCAAGATATCCTTTCCTCCCAGCAAAGTCTTGAGAGTTGAGTGGCAGGTGTAGCTAAGGAGGATTAGGTACTCTTCTATTTTACTTTGAGCGTCAGAAAACACAAACTTTGCAGAGGCCAACTTGGCATCTAGGCTAGATTTAGTATTCTGCTAGTTTAGAGTCCTGTTTTAATGTTGAGTCGATGGGAGTGTGGAAAACAAGTGTTGAACTTTCTCTTTTCAGTGTGGTTTCTGTTGCCAAGGAGAAGGCAGAGGTACTCGGAATAGTCTTGGTGACTTTTAGTTTGAAATATGCCTAAAATCTATACAAGTTTAACTCTAGGCAATGATGATTTAGGTATTAGTATTTACCTAAGAATCTTTAATTGTAGAAATCAGTAGGCTGTAGGCTGTCAGTTTTCTACCTGCTTGGTCTCAAGCAAGACGAAAAAAGAAACTACAAATGAAGAAATAGGCAAAGTTCATAAAATGCTGTGGTTTTTGTTGGGATACAAATATTCGGTGTCCTGTTTGGCAGGTTAGAGCAGTAAAATGGTGTTACAAAAGATTTTATATTCATTTACTTGAAGCCAAATGTGGCCTTTAATTTTGCATATAAATAGAGGTGAGCAAGCCTATTTGTTTCAGATTACATAATCTGTTTACTATTGCAGTCAGGCATTTGCTTGGATTTGGGGCATATGGGACATCATTGTTGGAGCTGAGTGTCAAGGCCTCTGCTTAGAAAAAAGTGTAGAAATTGGGCCTCCCCGGTGGCGCAGCGGTTGAGCGCTGGGTTGCAAAGCTGCCCGCAGCTTCTGCGGCGCCAGTTCGATCCCCGGCTGCTCCCCGGCCACTGGAGGAGGGTCCCACATGGCGCGCAGACCTCTCCTGCCGCCCGCTGCTCCCCTCAGCAGTGTACTTCGGTCCTTCTGCCTCCTCTGCTCCCTGCTCTGGCTCTGGTGAATTCTCTCACCCTCCCACGCTTCTGACTGTACCCAGTGCTTGTATAAATAAATAAATAAATCTTTAAAAAAAAAAAAAAAAAAGAAAAAGTGTAGAAAAGGGTAAGGGGAAAAACAAACTATTTCAATAAACTACTTGGTTTGAGTAGCACAGATTTCATTAGTTAGAAAGCAGTCAGGGTGACTTGTCATTCATTGAGGCGACACTTAAAATACTACAGTCTTAAAATATTTATCATCTTGGAATTCATATCTTGGATTGATTTGAGCTTCAAACATAGACTTTTCTGGAGACAAGAAGGTCGAAAAACAGTCCTCAACAGAAAAGCATAAAAATAACTGTCTTCAGGGCCTCCCCTGGTGGTGCAGCGGTTGAGCGCTGGGCTGGGAAGCTGCCTGCAGACTCTGCAGCACGGGTTCGATCCCCTGCCACCAGGTGAGGGTCCCACATGGCGCAACAGACCTCCCCGTCTCGCCCACTGCTCCCTTCAGCAGTATATTTCATCAGTCTGCCTGTTCTATTCCCCGCTCTAGCTCTGGTGAATTCTCTCACCCTCCCGCACTTCTGACTGTACCCAGTGCTTGCATAAATAAATAAATAAATCTTAAAAAAAAAAACAAACACTGTCTTCATAAACATTCGTTTTACTAAGTCATTTTTTTTTTAAAGATTTATTTGTTTATTTATTGATACAAGCACTGGGCACAGTCAGAAGCGTGGGAGGGTGAGAGAATTCACCAGAGCCAGAGCTGGGAACAGAACAGGCAGACCGACAAAATACATTGCTGAGGGGAGCAGCGGGCGGCAGGAGAGGTCTGCGTGCTAAGCAGGACCCTCCTCTGGTGGCCGGGGAGCAGCGGGGGAGCAGCCGGGGATCGAACCAGTGCCACAGAGGTTGCCGGCAGCTTCGCAACCCAGCGCTCAACCGCTGCGCCACCGGGGAGGCCCTGCTAAGTCATTTTTTACCTATGATTTGTGACTTCCTATCCTCCATGATGTTGGTGACAACCTCTTCGTTCAGGTGTGACTTTCTCTTCCTTCATTTCAGATGGGGCATCCTCTTCTCCCACCCTCGGGACTTTACTCCAGTATGTACCACAGAGCTTGGCAGGGCTGTCAAGCTGGCACCAGAATTTGCCAAGAGGAATGTGAAGCTGATCGCACTTTCAATAGACAGTGTTGAAGACCATCTTGCCTGGAGCAAGGTATAGTACCCTTTGGGGTGTGCTTTGAGGCTATAGGTCAAGTTTATCAATTATAGAGAGTAGCTTGGTTTGTTTTTGGTGAAGGTAACTTGGTGATTTGCCCTCATGTTTTTCAGGTCTCAACTCAAATAATACCATTTTTAGGTCTTTCTTGACCTCTTTATCTAAAATTATAACTCCCCTTCACATTCCCTGTGCCCTCTAATTAATATTTCTCCTTAGCACTTTTCTCCATCAGAAACCCTCTGCACATGGCTCACTTGGTTGATTTATTTCTCTCCACCAGAATGGAGGTCGGCAGGGCAGACTCCTGTTTTGTCTATTGCTGGAACAGTGCTCAGTACTCAGTGAGCGGTTGGTCTGTATTTGTTGAATGAATGAACTGTGAAGGAAATGTCTACTTTCAGCAAAGTATTTACTTGGACATGAAATGTGGTGTTATAAACTTCAGACCATGCTAGGACTTTGCTAAGTGTGCTATTAAATCATTATTGGTAACATTCATGGAGGCTTGCTCTGCACTAGGCTATATCAGGCACTTCAACTTGCAACAAAAGATGTACAGTTGACCCCTGAACAACAGAGATTTTAATAATAGGGGTTCACTTATTCAGGTGTAAATAGAAGGTGAAAACTTATGGTATTGATAAATACAGTGCTGTAAATGTATTTTCTTTATTATTTACATAAATGACATTTTCTTTTCTCTACCTTATTTTATTGTAAAAATTCAGTATATAATTACTATGACATACAAAATATGTATTAATTGACTATGTTATCTGTAAGATTTCCGGTTACCAGCAGGCTATTAGTAATTGAGGGGGGAGAGGTGGCAGGAAGCAGGGGCTAGTTATACTCAGATTTTCAACTACATGGAGGGTCAGCACCCCTAATCCCCACATTATTCAGGGATCAATTATAGTACTGACAGTTGACCTCTTGAGGCTGTATCCCTAGCCATTTCATACCAATTAATCCTAATGACTGAGATTACAAAAATCATGTATAGGAGAAAAGGGAAAGCCATTTCTCTCTTTCTTGAGGTAGAATTTTTTTTTTCCTTTCCTTACATTTGCCTGTTAATGGTATCTGGTTTTTCTGCAGGGTTCTCACTGGTAGTTTCAGGTAGCAGCCCTTTAAGAAAAGTATGTGGTTTCCAGTCTCATTTTCAAAGATGAGAATGTCTTTCAGTCAGAGATGGAGGCTCAAGATTGCCCTGCTTTAAAAAAAAAGGGTGGTAGTATGATTCGAACATCAAACTAATGCTCTTTTTCATACTAGATTATAGAGACTAGAATAACCTGATTTAGGATAGAAAAAAAACCAAAGCATATTGTTCAGTGTTCATGAATATAGACTGTTATATAAGTGACAGGATTGAGAAGACTGCATAGCAAGGATTAAAACTAGATTGTTATAGGAAAAAGGCTTATGTAGTCCATTATTTAATACCTTTTAAAATATGGAATCATACCTAGGCTTATTTTAGCTGGTGAGCTTCTGCCCAAGAAGTTTTCAAAATTGTGATTGCATTGAATTGGAAACAAGTTTTAACTAGCAGATACCTATTTCAAAGTTCATGAATGCCACTTTTACCCTATTGCATCTCTGGATAAATCCACAAAGGTTCTGTAAGTGCTGTGTCATCAACCCGTTTTACTTTGAAGGCACCGCATAGTAAATAAACCTTGTTCAAATTTTAGACTTCTTTGCCATTAAATCCTAAACCTTCATCCAGCGAAGCTCTTTATTCCTGTCATCAGTTTCTGCTCAGAATTGCCTAAATGTTGCATTAGTATTGCTTCCCATTCCTGGAATGTCTGTCTTTGTCCTGTGAAACTCTTATCCAGCCTTCAAGGGTCCAGATGAAAGTCATACCGTGTTCTTAAAGCCTTTCCCAGTGGCTCTACAAATGGGAGCATAAGTGTACTTCAGCATTTACAATCATCCATTTACATATTACAGTCTTGTGTTTGCTTCTACCTCATATGGGAATCATCTAACCAAATCAGAATTCCTTTGAAGGGTCTTACTCATCTGTATTCCATGTATATTTACAATATTGCACAACCCATCTTTAACTCTTTAGCAATGCTAGATCAAATATAGAAATGAGATTTCCCCTCCCCCAAGTTTCCAGGGATTAGAAAGTAGGAATGATTGAAGTTTTACTGGGAGAAAGGGGAATAGAGAGGAAGACAGTAAATTATTGTCCTTTAGTTCATCCTTAAAATGCCTTTGTGTGGATTTCCATAAATATACCTCTGCCTTTTCACCCACAAGACATTTACCTTTGAATATATTCAATTTTTTATTCTTGTGTTGCTTTAAGTTATATGATTTTTTTTTTTTTTTTTTTTTTTGGCATTCCCTAATATCTGTCTTATAGTAGATGGACATCTGAGTGAGGAACAGACTCTGGAGACTGTTCTCAGCATGTGGCATTATTGCTAGATATGATGAACTTAAATGAATTTACTATTTCTGGTGGTTTTTACAGTATTTGGGTACCCAAAGGTACCTTTGATCTTCTTATTCAACTTTCAAAGAGTTCCTGCTGCTTCTCAACGCAGTAGAAACATGCTGAACTTTAAGAGACTTGGGCATGAAAAAGATCTGCAGTTACAAGCTAGGTGTCATACTTACTGTTATTCCTGTTGATGAATAACTGAGACAAGGCATGTTCATTAATTTTCTTATTGAAATTGCTTGAAGAATATGATTATGATTATGGTCCTGTTTCCTGTCTTGCAAGATGGTGACTCAGAGGATGTGCCAACCTTTGACTTCTCTTCTCCCTCTGCCATGCATTTCAGGATATTAATGCTTACAATGGTGATGAACCCACAGAAAAGTTACCTTTTCCCATCATTGATGATAAGAATCGGGAACTTGCCATTCTGTTGGGCATGCTGGACCCTGCAGAAAAAGACGAAAAAGGCATGCCTGTGACAGCTCGTGTGGTGAGTGGTAGGAATCTATGGTGTAGACATCCTGATCAGCCAGGCTGGACTTCCAAGTAACTACTTGAGCCAACTATAGGGAAGAAATAGGAGAACAATTCCTCTTACATAATAACTGCATTTGTGGCCATCTCACTGCTTATCTGGAAAGGTGGTGATACAAAGTAAAATTTTCAGCCTAATTTTCAAACTGCTGAATTCTTAGCATGAAATCTACATAAAAATATGTAGTTATTCTAAATGTCAAAGAGAGTTGAGAAACATTTTCTCTAGTTATCCTAACAGCCTTCACTTTCAAGTGATGGCCATATCCTTCTTCATAAGGCAGCTCTGATTTTGAATTCTTATTTGTTCTGTCCTCTTAAACATGCTTTCTACCCAATAGGAAATAAACTGAGTCCCTCATCTGCAAAAAATATACAACTATTTGAGTATACCAGTACCAACTCCCATTAATATCATTTTATGATAATCATCCCTTCCTGAGGCCTTCCCTGGATTAAATTGCACATTGGCCTTTCTTACTGGGATAGCCGGAACCAAATATAATTCTCTTCTAAGTTCAGAAAGCTAACATGAAGAAGAAAATTGTATTCCTGACTCCCAGATTGCAGTTTGACATATCTTTCAGGTGTTTAGGGAACAGGGTGGTGGCAGTGGTTTTGTTTTATTGTAATGCCCTTGAACATTTGTAATGTCTGAAGAGCTTTTCTTTTTTTTTAAGATATATTTCTTTTTTTTTTTTTTTTTTTTTTTTTTAATAGAGGCATGTTTTTATTTATTTATTTATTATATTTGTTTGTCTTGTTTATACATGCACTGGGTACAGTCAGAAGCGCGGGAGGGTGAGAGAATTCACCAGAGCGGGGAGCAGAGCAGGCAGAAGGGCTGAAGTACACTGCTGAGGGGAGCAGCGGGTGGCAGGAGAGGTCTGCGCACCATGTGGGATCCTCCTCCGGTGGCCGGGGAGCAGCCGGGGATCGAACCGGCGCCGCAGAGGCCGCGGGCAGTTTCGCAACCCAGCGCTCAACCGCTGCGCCACCGGGGAGGCCCTAAGATATATTTCTTTATGCATACAAGAACTGGGGTACAGGCCAGATGTTGAGGGGGGGTGAGAGGATTCACCACAGTCAGAGTGGGGAACAGAATAGGCGTATTGACTGAAATACACTGCTGAGGGAAGCAGCGGGCGAGTAAGGAGAGGTCTGCAGCACCATGTGAGTAACTACCTGGCCAGGGATCTCGTGTTGCAGTGGCTGTGGACAGCTTCATAGGTTGATGTCTTAACCCCATGAGCCACCAGGGAGGCCCATTTTAAAAGACTTTAATAACAATAGCATTTAAAGAAGTCTTTTTTTCTGTCTGTGTGCTCTGCAGGTGTTTGTTTTTGGTCCTGATAAGAAACTGAAGCTGTCAATCCTCTACCCAGCTACCACTGGCAGGAACTTTGATGAGCTTCTCAGAGTAGTTATCTCTCTCCAGCTGACAGCAGAAAAGAGGGTTGCCACCCCTGTTGATTGGAAGGTAAAGATGTTAAAAGGGCAGATAAACCACTTGACTGGAAGGCTTGGGGGGCCATTCTCTGAATGGCTCCCTTTAGCGTCAGTGTTGCCTATGGCTGTTTCTAGCCTGCAAATAACACTAGGGGGACTTTTCTTAAGATGGTCATTTTCAGGGTCTTGGTACCATTTATATAAAACTCCCGGTATTGCTTTCTGACTTTCATTTTATAGATTCCTTTTCCTAATAATAGGATTTAAAAGCAAAAAAAGAACCTTTAACCCTTTCCCAATGACAGAATACTTATAGAAAACCTTGATTGGTCACTAAGTCATGGCTATCAAACTATTTGTATTACTTTTATAAAGCTTTTCATTTCTCTTACGCTTCAGTCTTTTAAACCCATGTACACTTATCTAAAACTCATTACCTTTTAATTTCTTAGGATTTCTGCAATATGTAGGACATGAATAAAAATATCACAAGACAATTTTAAATTTACTACATCATCTTTAATGTGCTAACCTGAATACTGGGTATTTTTGTTTTGTTTTGACTAGTAAATCATTTCAATACTGTATCCATTCATTGAACAGTATTTTTTGAGCCCAGACAGTGGACACTTGGGTAAACAGTATAAAGTCCCGGCCTTCTTAGACTTAGATTCCAGCTGGTAGAAACAAATATTACACAAGTTTATAGGATATTATGCAGTGATAAGGACAGCAGAGAATAATCATGCAGAGCTAGTGTAAGGGCAGGACAGGACACAGTGCAGGTTTTCTGATCCAGCAGACCAGGTAAAGGAAGAGTCAGAGTCCTCAGTGGCTTTTTGCAGGCTTTTATTGGGGTTTACCCGGTACACAGCAGGCAGGGATGCTGGGGGGCCGGGAGGCTGGCAGGCCTCCCAGCCACCAGCAAGTTTTCACTCTATCTGGGCTCTCCGGCCTTCTCTGCTTCTCTCTCGGCTTCTATTCCTTCTTGGCTTCTGCTGGCGTCCCCGTGACGCCGCCCTTAAAAGCCCAGTCCTAGCCCAGGTGAATCCCATCTACCTCTGCCCACACCCTACTCCAGGTGCCCGCCATCAGGCATGCATTCAGGACCGCAGGGATCCATCATCTATCCTGATGGCGGGAGGGCAGAAAAGCCTGACATTTTTCCCTTGCCCTACAGCTAGGAAGAGCACGGAGTTGGGAGGATTGGTTTTTTGACTGTCAAGGAAGGTCTTTCTCTGAAGGGATCTTTGAGGAGAACACGAAGAAAACAAGGGACAAAGTAATGCGTATTTGAAAGGAAAAGCCCTGCCTGAAGAAGGAACTGGTAGTACAAGGAACTTGAGCTAAAAGTGAGGCTGGTGTATTAATGGAATAGAGGGAAAGCTGTGTGCCTGGAGAAGTAGCAGCAGAAGGTGGGGAGCGGGCCCAAGGATAAGAGAGGAGGCAGTCTTCAAACATGCAGGGCTCTCTAGCCCATGATAAAGACTTAGAATAATGGTTTCAAAGTGTGGGGCAATTCCTTACTAGGTTTAAAACAAGACTATTTCGTGTTAAGTGGGAAAGTACTTACCCTCACAAAAGTAGGAGAGGGAAAATTCCTTAGAGGGGAGAAGGTAAAGAATACTTGATTATTCTTGATTATTCTCATTAGTACCTATAGCAATAATTCTTTTCCTTTTCAATCTGAGATTGAATCTCACCCTTCTCAATGTTTTCCAATAGAATGGAGATAGTGTCATGGTCCTTCCAACGATCCCTGAAGAGGAGGCCAAAAAGCTTTTCCCTAAAGGAGTCTTCACCAAAGAGCTCCCATCTGGCAAGAAATACCTCCGCTACACTCCCCAGCCCTAGGTTTCTCCGAGCTGCTGGAGCTGCTGGAGCTGCTCGCTTCGTACCGTGAGCCAGAGGATGCCAGCTGCCAATCATGTTGGCCTGCGACAATTCCATAAAAATGTCCTGGTGTGATCACATCCACAGCCTTTAGATTGCTCTAGGCTTATTAAATGAATATGGCACTCAAAATTTCTTGGAATTCTTGACTCTGTGCCTTAACCAGCATTCTGTCCTGTTCACATATCTTAGCACTCTGCTGGCTCTCTTTGAAGTATGTGCTACATTTGAGAGTCCAATCCTGCTGGGTCTCTGCAAGGTTTGCGATCAACATGGTATTATCCGTTGATGGTTGAAAAGCCTGCTTTGCTCCATCAAAGAATGACTATCAGGTTTTTTAACTGTTCTAATCAAATTCTCCTTTCTGTTACCCATTTTTGTGAGCAACAGAAATTGAGGTTCAGCTTCGTCTGTAGATATCTAAGTATTAACCCAAGAACTTAGAGTAACTTGGATATCTTCAATATTCAGTGTTTTAATCACAATGGGGGGGAACTTTTTGATTCTGTACTTTTGCAATAGGTGACTGAAGCAGGATGAGCAAGGGGAAGGATCTTGAAATATTTTGCTATAAAGAAAATTTTTCAATAAATGTCTTTCAAAAGAGGGAGCTTGCATGCCTGCCAGGGAGGTGTACCAGAAGGTATGAGTGGTGCCCTGTGCCCATACCAGTCTGCTCGATCAGGATGTACACGTGAAAGGTCACACCTTGGAAAGTGAGAAGATGACTGAAAATGTTTTATTATAGAACCATTCTTCTGGGCGGGGGGAGGGCAGAGATGGGGTGTGCTATTTTCTGAATTTTGCTTTTTAGGGATCAGCAAATAAATCCTTTGGTTAAACCAGACAAGAGAATTCTGTTGTCACATTTTGAGTTACCTGTTGAACAGAGTTTTCTCGCTGCCCTTGGCATTGGTCCTTTTCTGCAAGACAATAGAAATTTTCATATAATGAAAATGGAGGAGCAGCTGATGGTCAAAATTTCACCACCTCTCTTGCCCACTTTGCTCCTTCATGTTACTTCACTCGATCTTGGAGTTCCTTGAGTTTGGGACCCCTGCTATAAAGAGCTCTCCTAACCTGATGCCTGAATTGAATTGGGCTCAAGAATATGAACCATGAAGACAGTGGTACATTTAAGCTTTTCTGCCAGAAACATACTAATTATTTTGAACTCAAGGTCTCAGACTTTTATTATATTGTATTAGTAAGTCCTACATTTAGAAAGAAATGTCCCACACCTGCTGTAGTCTTGGGTAACATGTAACCCTATTTTTTTTTTAAGATTTATTTATTTATATAAGCATTGGGTACAGTCAGAAGCGAGGGAGGGTGAGAGAATTCACCAGAGCCAGAGCGGGGAGCAGAGCAGGCAGAAGGACCGAAGTACACTGCTGAGGGGAGCAGCGGGCGGCAGGAGAGGTCTGCGCGCCATGTGGGACCCTCGCCCGGCAGCCGGGGATTGAACTGGCGCTGCAGAGGCTGTGGGCAGCTTCGCAGCCCAGCGCTCAACCACTGCACCACCAGGGGAGGCCCAGCCCTCTCTATTTTTCTTGAGTAAGTAACACTAAACATGATACCTGATAGGATGTGTTAGCAGTGTCATCGAGCCTTTAGTTTCCATGGTTATATCCACATGTAAAATTTGATGCCATTAAAGCTGAGAGAATAGGTGAGAATTCCAAGTTGGGGGCCTCCCTGGTGGCCTAGGGCTTAAGTATCAGAGCTATCACCACTGCAGCCTGAGTTACATTCCTAGCCAGGGAGCTAACCCACATAAGGCATAGCAAACCTCTCCTGTCTCGCCCACTGCTCCCCGTGGCAGTGTATTTCAGTAAATCTGCCTGTTTCCCATTCTGTCTGGTGAATCATCTCTGGCCTGCACCTCTTCTATGCAAAAAAAAGAAAATTCCAAGTTACATAATATCCTGGGGGTGCTTGACTGAAGGAAGCTAAAGAGTGCTGGCATCCTATCCTCACCTCTTCTCCAGTTCACAATATAGTTTGCTGTTATCTGCTCCTCTAACTATATACGTCTTCTGACTAAGCTCTTATTTCCCATGTCTGGTTACCACCCTGAGTATTTTCCTTGCTGCTTCCTTCCCTTTTGCTGTTTGCCTTCTTTAGTCTATCTTGAATCTGTTCATCATTTGCTAAAATCTCTTGTAAGAAACTAAGGTTTACCAAGTTTAATAATGAGAGTTGATATCTAAAATCAGTCTATCTAAAATTACTGTGCCTTCAGGTTTACATTTTGCACCTTATTGTAAGGAAACTGAAATTTTAATGTCCTATTGCCTAAATAATTTTAAAGCAAGTGCTTAAAATTTTTAACAGATTATGTGTACCAGTCATCTAGTCTAAAGGGATGATAGTATAACAGCTATTACAATTTCTTACTATCTAAAAACTGGAATGTAACAACTGAAATGCAAGTAAGGGTGCAAAAAGGGTTAAAGCATTCTAAGACTCCCTGTGCTAACTTTTAATATCAAAGACAGTTTAGCTAACCTAAATGTCTTGGTATTCTTCTACCCCCCAGTGTGGTTCCCTGTGAAAAATCTAGTCCTATCAGCATTGCTAAGCCTTGTCAGAGAAATAGATCTACTCTTAAAAAATCTTTGTCACTCTGGGTAGTTATTTTATAAAATTCTTTAAGTATGTAACTAATAGGAGTGTTTTGAAGTATGTAAGACTTCTTAAAACCTAATATATTCTGGAAGGCAGTCCATAATACGGACTCTCAATGGGAAGACCAATCCCGAAACCCCAGTTGTAGGGGCAGGGATCATATGACTACTTGCCTCCTCCAGGGCACGCAGGAAGTCATTGTTAACCCAGTGAGTAAGACTAACTGAGGGAAGTTACTCAGGAGCCCAGTGAAAATCCTGCATGAGGCCATGAGGAAGTACTCTAATCTGGATCCAGAGACTAGAAGGACAGGTCATCCTAACAGCATTTGATTAGCCAGTCTTGCTCTGACATCAGGTACAAGCTCCAGTGACTGCATCAAGGGCCTCAGGCCTCTTTCTCAATACTTCCAGACACGACCTTCAAGGTCTACAGTAATAGGGAGAACAGCCAGGCTAAAAGAAACGAGAGGAAGACAAGAGAAAGGCCCAATATGTGGTGGCTGGCATTGGCAGCGCCCTGCCACCTCAGATTCACCCAAGACCCCATAAACCTTTAGGACACTTAGGACCTCAATCTCTTAAAGGTCCCCCAGCAACTGGGACACTTTAGCTATGAGTGTCTGAAAAGGCCATGCCCTCAGCTATTGCACAGGACATTGGTAGAAAGACCGTCCCACTCTCCAGAGAGGGAAGGGCCAGCCCAAAGCATGTGCCAGGTGGGAAAATAAGAAGGGCATCATCAAGTGCCTCTGACTATGGTCATTGACTATGAAGAACCCAGTGTGAGAGAAGAACTTTTCTGAAGGGGCTCTGAGGTGAAACAGGCTCGCCTATTTACTATTTCTAGGCAGAGCCTCAAGTGATCTTGGAAGTGGCAGACAAAGAGATCACCTTCTTAGTGGATACAGGGGCCACTTACTCTGCCTTGCTGCAGTTCTCCAGAACTGCCTACTGGTCGACTGTCCTCACTGGTGTTGATGGCCAACCTAAGCCAGGATGCTCTACAGCACCACTGCCCTACTCACTACAAATCCACCTGTTTACACTTTGATTTCTGGTCTTGCCCCATTCTGATTCCCCATTCTGCTATATCACTTTTGGGCCTCTGGGATACTACATTCCCAGGCTGAGCTATCTTTGTGACCCCTGTTAGGGTGCAATTAAAGGACCCTCATTTTCCCTAGTGTTATAGGGCAGCCCCGATACAAAACGGGGTGCCTGACTGTGGGTCCTCACCCGCGCGCTTAAAAGGACTTATCAATACTCCACTGCAGGCACACGCGAAAGGTTAATAAAAGGTTTATTCACAAGGGAAGGGCAAATGAGGAAATGTACAGTTCAGGGAGAAAAGTGGGAGACAAAGTTTTAAATGCGTCCTACCTGATCCGCCGATCAGGAATCCCAAATGGCGCTCTGAGAGCTGGCTGCAAGCCAGGAGCCGTGAAGCCAGAAGGCAAGCGACAGAGCAAGAGACCCCAAGGCCCACGTGTCTGGTTTTTATACCAACCAAACCTAGCTGCTTAACTCCACCCTCAGGTCCCAGCCACCCTCCCTTTGGTGGTGACTGGATTTGTCTTTCCCAATGTCTTGATGGCTTTAGTCTGGAGTGGGGGTGGGGTCCACAAAGCCTGTATGGGATTAGCGCAGGACATCATTTCCCCCTAACACTAGGAAGACACAATATCTAAGGACTATGACTTCTTACACAAAATTCCTCCACTTGGGTCTTTTAAGACCTGGCATTCTTAACTTTTTTGTTTAGTTTCATCTCACACACCATCAAACTACAGCTTCCAGTTATGGAGAATCAGGCACCATGGAGTACCGTTCGTTATGGAGACCTAGAAGCACAAACAGCTGCGGGAGATGTGAACCTGGATGCTTGGTAGCCCATTTTGGACAACCGGCACCACCTGAGCCCCTCAGAACACCACATAGCAACTAAAATTGACCCTGTCTGAAAGCCCAAAGTGCAGCCATCAAATTCTTCACACCTCTTTCCCACCATACCCAGATGACAATAGGCTAATGGCCAGCACTACCGGCCAAAATTCAGCTTGAAGCAGCTACACAAGCCAGAACTCCAACCCATTCCCAAAGATTCCCATCATCCTCTCAGAAGAGGGGGAAATAGCGGGTATCATTATCAAGATTAAAAAGTAAAGCCCCATTCCTTGCCCAGCAGGCAAGTTTGGAACGCTTCAAAAGATAAAGGGAAATGATAAGGTTGCTATGAACCAGGACATAAGACCAGATCACCTTGACTATGAATGTGGAAGCAAGGCCAGGACACATGCTGTGTCAAAGGTCAACACCCAAGACCAGACATCCCAGAAGATAACAGGTTATGAAAGAAAGTCTTAAGCCCTTCATCACACACAGACATCTCTGTCTTGCCCCCTGGTCTCTTGCAAGGTATTTCAATAAATCCACTTTTTCCTGTTGTCCCTCCCCCACCACAATAAAGTCAAGCTCATTAAACAAATTTCAAAAGTATTATAATCAAAATCTGCTTTCAGATTTTGCACACCACTGAAATTTCCAGTAGGTTCTTAATAGTTAAGCTTGACTTTTTTTTCTGTTGTATTTCCTTCTATTCTTAACCCCTAATATGGTTTTTCCTAGAGTAAAACATCATATATTCTTTCCATCTTTCATCTCAAAATTGAGCTAAAACGAATAATGGATTCTAAATAACAAACCATAAAAATTCAACTTTATTTGACTTTTTAAAATAAAATGGAAAGTGATACCAAATAGTACTATGCAATGTAAACTTGTTAATTTCCCCCAAATTTTGCTTTAAGTAACAAAGATTGTGGAATATTTGTTCAGTGTTAACTAAATTAGGACAAGAAAGGGAAATGACTTTACTCTGGAAAATGTTAGGGAAGCAATAATAACAACAATATCACAAATCAAAATTCTAGGCCCTATGCTTTCAATAATAATATATTAGTTGTACAACAGATTTGGTAACTTGTACCCTATTATAACTGAGTCTCAGCTGGAAGTAGGGTTTCATTTGGGAGCTTTCATTCAGCTGGAAGTAGGGTTTCACAAGTTTTAGGATATCTTGCATCATCCTGAAGAATTCTTGAACCTCTCAAGTATACTGCAACTGCTTAAAATTAGAGTTTTACATCAGTCCATTAATCACTTGTAAGATAAATATTGCAGTAAAGTGTTCCAGCAACTTCTAAGCAAACTCCTTGCCAGGTAGATAAAATCCTTTAGCACTTGAGCCAGGATATTAATTTGGTCTTTCGCCTGACTCCATACATCATATTAGTGCCTTAAAAATCTTTTTTGAAATGGGATCCAGCTTCCAACTATAAAAGAAAGTCGAAAGTAAAATATTAGACTATGAACATTTCTAAAACTTACTATTAACTGCAATCAGAAAACTTAATGAAAAGCTTCCATTTTATTGTCTGAAACAGTCCCCTATAAGTAAATACATGTGCCTCTCTATACCACCAATCTCTATACTTGATGATACCATCAAGTATCATCTTATAAAGACATATCAGATTGTTTTGATTAGAGTAGTCTATAGAAGGTACACTGAAGGGAAGGAAATGTTAGGAGGCTTGAATTCCTGTTAACTTTATGACTGGTTGCGTGAATGAGATTTTTTTTAAATAATGGGGTCTGGGAAAGACCATGACAAATAAGGAGCCCAAGCACTTGACTCCCAATTTATTTTTCCCATTTGTGAATGAGGGTCCCTTTAAGAAAGAGAAGAGGGTCATGCTAGGGATACAGCCTAAAAAGAGTTAAGTTTCTTTGTTTAGAGGAGCCATTAGCCACAAGTTTGGTGAGTTTCCTTTCCCCCAACAAATTACACTGCAACCCTTCTTGATTGGCATAAATGATAGTGACTGGATCAGAATTTTTATTCAAGGGTCTATAGTCACTTAGGGTGACTATGTGGTTTGGGGTGTGGTGAGGCAAGAGACTGCTCTTGAAGCCACATTTCAATGCATATCTTTTTTCCTTAGATGGCATGTTTATTAGGGATGACTTGGCAACTAGGGGAGGGTAGGTACTGGAGACCCTGAAGTCCATCCTTGGCACCATTAGTGCCATCTGGCCCACTTCCGCATTTTCCTAGTGTCCTACCACCCTGCCAGAGTTGTCCACTCCACTCCCTAGATTTGGAGCTCTCAGAGACCCCTTCAGTGAAGGGGATAGCAAAGTAAAGTAGTCTTGCAGACTCTCTCCCCAACACACTTGCCTCTACTCTGTCCTGGTCCAAAATGCCCTGCCCCTTCCCCATACCGGGCGTGACTTGCAGCACATCTCACATTTTCCTAGATGAGTCCTGATTACAGAGGGAATTAGGAAAAGTCTTCATGGCAAAACTAAGTGACTTTCCATATAAAATATTTTGAAGTAAAAATGGAAATGCCATATGACCTAGCAATACTTCTCCTGGTGAAGAAGAGTATGAAAACACTAATAAGAATTATGCACCCCTGTGTTCATAGCAGAATTATTCACATTATCCAAGATATGGAGATAGTCTAACACCTATGACTGGGCTTATCCAGCTCATCCAGATGACTAGATAAGCAAATTGTAGAATATCTACTCAATAGAAGACTACTCAACTATTTAACAAAGATGAATTAGGCCTTTTGGAACAAAATGGGTGGATCTTGAGGTGATGATGCTAAGTGAAATAAGTCAGAAAGTAAAAGGTATTTAGTTACCAGATGGTTTCACTCATGTATGGAATATAAACAACCAAAGAAAACAAACTGACAAAATACAACAAAAATAACTCTTTGACTCTGTGAAAACTATGGTGGATACCAATGGCAGCTAGAGGATAGAGGGTACAAAGTGAGTAAGGTGGCAGTGTCTTGTCACTGCAACTCTGGCAGAGGACAAGGGCAGCATATGTACATGTTGAGATGTGAAGGTGTACTCCCAAACACACAATTTTTTATAAATGGCAAATCAATAAAATTTTGAAGAAAAAATGTCTTTGATGTCTCTTATCTTAAAAATTCATGCAAATTTGTCCCCCTATTGCATAATATATTTGTTTTAATATAAAACATTTTAGGGGCCTCCCTGGTGGCACAGGGGTTAAAGACAGCAATATCAAGCTATCACCAGCCACTGCAGCATAAGTTCGATGCCCCACCGGGCCAGGGACCATCTGCTGGTTCTGCTCCCCACTCTCTCTGGTGAATCCTCTCACACGCACCCCTTGTCTCCCATGCACCTCTGGCTTATTTATGCATAAATAAATAAATCTTTAAAAAAAATAAAACATTTTAAACAATCTAAATAAGCTAAATGAGTTAATTTAGCTTTATTTATCCCTTTCAATTTAAATTTAGTTTATTTCTCCCTTTAAAAAATCGAGTATAATTGATAATCTAGGAACATGTCCATAATCAGCTTATGGTTCCACATACCCCCATTTTAGCACTCACACATCCTAGGGAATGCACATTGCAAAGGAAGGGGCACTGATATTTAGAGGCTAATGTCTGACTATATGCATGGTTAAGCCCATTCCCATCCCAAGGCCCAAAGATCTCAACTTTTGAACTAAAAATCAGAGAAAGGGGGTGTTGAGAGAGAAACTGGGAGAGAGAGAGCTGACAAAATTGCATCTTTCAAAAACATTACATAATTTTAATTTTAAGTAATTCAAGTGAGTTTTACCCCAATTTCCCCATATTAATGAGCTGCCACTAAGAGTCTCTTTCTTACCACCTACATTTACAACTTGACTTCACAATTTTAGTTGTATAGTTCAATATTCACAATAAAAAAATCTATCAAATCCTTGAGTTTATTACCTGATCTTTTCCAGCCATATTCTTTCTTGTTCATTCGAAGACACGTATTGACTGAGGCTGTCCAAATATATGCATTAAATGGAAAAACAAATTAGGAATTTAAGAATATGGTAGCACTAGAATATTTTAAAATATCAACTTGCTTACTCCTTTCAGGTCCTCCCTTTGCCTTTCAAATGGGCCCTTTACTCCCTCGAGGATATTTGTTAATATATTCCCAAAAATCCAACACAAGAGCTGACAAACTCAAATGGGAAGAGGGAGGTCACAGAAACAATTAAGGAAGGCTGGATATGAGACAAGAGGGAGCAGTTAGACTGTGGCAAACTGGTAAGCATCTGTTTTCCCTACAATAGCCAGCAATATTGTACTATCTGATTATTGCTATTGGTAAGAATGAGGATTTAGTATTGGCAGACTTTCTGATTTTATTTTTCAAGAAAACCTTGAAATTTGGATTCGTTAAATATGAAATTTCTTGATGTTTATACTTGGAAACAATTTTTTTTTAATTTAAAGAAAATGTGTATGTTTGCCAAATCCAGTGTACTGACTAGATCCTGTCCATGGACCTACCATTTATGACTTTTGTTCTGAACCCATTGAACAGTAGAATGATGTGTTTCCCTCAGTCTAAAAACAATTTCAGAGGGTTTTTTTTTTTAAAGATTTATTTATTTATACAAGAACCAGGGTACAGGCCAGACGTACAGGAGGGTGAGAGGATTCACCAGAGACAGAGCGGGGAACAGAACAGGCAGACTGATGAAATACACTGCTGAGGGGAGCAGCGGGCCAGACAGGAGAGGTCTGCTTCGCCATGTGGGATTCTTGCCAGCTGGCCGGAATCCAACCCGCACTGCAGAGGCTGCTTCGCCATGTGGCACTCTCACCGGCTGGTGGGGATCAAACCCGCACTGCAGAGGCTGCATACAGCTTCACAGTGTGGCACTCAACCACCTGCCCCACCAGGGAGGCCCAATTTCAGAGGGTTTTAAGAAGGAAAGAAAACGATGGCCCAAGGAATAGAAAGGACTTGAGCCCTAATCCTGGCAGTGTTTTAGGTCTCTGACTCAGTAGCCCTTATGTGGCCCCAATGTGGCTGACACTAGGCCCTAAACTCCCAGCCTTTGCCATAGAATCCTATACCCTAAAAGTATTGTGGAAGCAGCACAGTGGCAGCCCTAATAGACTATAAAGCCTGAGAGTAATGGTTATATCAGTATTAACCATTTTGGAGAGAAGACCAGAAGCAGAAGGGACTCCCAAAATCATGGCGTTGCACATGACCCCATAATAGAGCATGGAGGGCCTCCCTAGTGGTGCTGGCAGTTGAGCGCCACACTATGAAGCTGTCCGCAGCCTTTGCAGAGCGGGTTCGATCCCAGCCAGTCGGGGAGAAACCCACATGGCGCAGCAGACCTCTCTTGTCTTGCCTGCTGGTCCCTTCAGCAACGTATTTCGTCGGTCTGCCTGTTCTGTTCCTCGCTCTGTCTCTGCTGAATCCTCTCACCCTTCTGCATATCTGGCCTGTACCTTGGTTCTTGTATAAATAAATAAATCTTTAAGAAAATTAATTAATTAATAAAAAAATTTAACATAAAAAAAAAAAGAACAAAGCATGGAAAGTGAGCCCAGTGTTGTACTTGCTGCTAGGGGGGAAATGGAATTACTTATTTAATGTCCGTCTCTTCCTCCATGAGGGCAGATAGATGGTTTGGCTGACTTACCAACTAACACTTGACACTGGTGCCCAGTACATGGGGAGAGACATTTTATAAGAATTATGCAAATGTAGGCCTCCCTGGTGGTGCAAGGGGTTAAGACGCAACCTATGAAGCTGTCTGCAGGCTCTGCAGCACGAGTTCAATCCCCAGGCCAGCCAGAGAGCAACCCACATGGTACAGCAGACCTCTCCTGTCTTACCCGCTGCTCCCCTCAGCAGTGTACTTTGGTCAATCTGCCTGTTCTGTTCCCCACTTTGTCTCTGGTGAATCCTCTCACCTCCCACACCTCTGGCCTGTACCCCAGCTCTTGTATGCATACATAAATAAATCTTAAAAAAAAAAAGAATTAGGCAATTGGGAAATGAGGCATAAAACATTAATGAATGAAATGTCATTTTATGCACAAAACTTTAAATCATATCAACCATTCTCAGAAATTAACAATTCTTTAAGAATTCCATAATGGAGGCCTCCCTGGGGGCGCAGGTGGTTGGGCGCAGCGCTGTGAGGCTGTCCGCAGCCTCTGCAGTGCCAGTTCAATCCCCATCGGCCTTAGAGCAATCCACATGGTGAGCAGACCTCTCCTGTCTCGCCTGCTGCTCCCCTCAGCAGTGTATTTTGTCAGTCTACCTGTTCTGTTCCTCGCTGTGTCTCTGGTGAATCTCTCACCCTCCCGTGCATCTGGCCTATACCCCTGTTCCTGTATAAATAAAATAAATCTTTTAAAAAAAATTGCATGATGTCTAAGCTAGCAGGTCACATGAAGTATTCACCAGAATGCTGGCGACTAGAGGAAGACATCAAGATGACTTTGTTTTCAAGTCAGGGTAAAAGAGAAAATGGTGACATTGGACTTGGTAAGGCATTAATGCCGAGCACTAGAAGAAAGATCTAGAATAAATTCTCTCTAGTGTATGGGCCTCCCTATCTAGTATTTTTTGTGCAATATTTAGCTCCGTGATACATGTGATTGGGTGTTAATACATATTTAGTGACTATAATTACTTAGTGACCATTGATGTACAATTCAGAGCAAGCCATTTGAGTTGTGACTGTCACCACAGTCTGGATTCTCAGTGAGCATGGGGCGGGGTTCATGTTCCCTTTGATTATTGGGAACAAACTCGCTCCTCAAGCCTGAGCTCACTGTGAGAAAGTTCACCCCCTCCCCTGCTCAGCCCCCAAACTGCACTATGTGACTCACCCCAAACAGGGCGGGAACAGAATCCAACATAGAAACTGCTCTCCTCCTGCAAGGGGGTAGAGCCAGGGGCATGGGAGAGGAAGGAGTCACTTTCATTTCAGTGTCTGGAAGTCTCTGAATCTATGTTTTCAAAGTGGCAACCAGGTGGACCCAACGATGGAGAGCGACGATAAACCCACACAATGCCCTCCAATTTCATTTTTTGAAGAATTAAATGAATTTTACATGTATCAAAATTCCTTCTCAATGGTTTCCCTATTCTTAAAGGTTTACCCCTTACCCATGACATTTGATACAGTATCTTCTGGGGAAGCCTCAGATGTTTGGATAACCAGCAGCTTGCTTAAATCTGAAGTTCCCTGAACCTAAAGGAAGAAAAGTCAAAATTAGTCAAAAGAGTATTCTTTTCCTGGGGCCTCCCTGGTGGAGCAATGAGTTAAGTTTCAGCACTATGACGATATCCGCAGCCACTGAAGCATGAGTTCAATCCCTGGCCAGGGAGCTACCCACATGGCACAGCAGACCTCTCCTGTCTCACTCGCTGCTCCCCTCAGCAGTGTATTTCAGTCAGTCTGCCTGTTCTGTTCCCTGCTCTGTCTCTGGTGAATCCACTCGCCCCCTCCCTGCCCGCACCCTTGGCCTGCACCCCAGTTCCTGAATGCATAAATAAATAAAAATAAATCTTAAAAAAAAAGTATTCTTTTCCTAACCTTAACCTTTCCAAAGAATATAAGAAATAAGCCATCCCCTGGAACTAGGCCTCCAACCCAAGTTCTATCTTATTCATTTCAAATTCTCTTTAACGCTGTTTCAAAAAGTGTTGGACCAACAAATTATCTTTTGCATATTTATAGACATCAGAGAGAAAATTTCCACAACTTGCCTCTAAACAGACTGGAAATTCTCAGTTTTGAAAACAGAGACTCCCCAGTGTCAGCTGAGTTACTTTTATTCATACATTGACATTTATGGGCTTTGGCCCAGTCTCCCAGATGGCAATACGGTCTTTTCATCTTGGGGCTTTTGCCTTGCACGCCACAGAATCTGACCTCCCAGAATGCAAGTAGCAGCCAAACAACAAATAAACTATCATCACCAGAGACCACACATTTTCTCCTTTAATCCTCACAACAACCAGATCCTACAACTGCTACTATTACCCATGTATCAATAATAGGCAACTGAGATCAGATTCCCTGTGCTCATATATCTAATGGGCACAGGGTCAGGTTCAAATTCAAGTGTGCCTGACTCCAAGCCCTGATAACTTACCACACTAAACTGTGGGTGGTGCTCCCACCTTCTGCATTCCTACCCCTTCTTTCAAACCTAGAGATTTCCACTTTCTGTTCATTAAAAAAAAAGATATTCAAATCACTATTGTCCTCTGAATTGCTGAGAGATATAAAATAAGAATATGATGAAGGGGGCAAAAGTGCTTTTTAGGACACTTGCCAACTGTTCCAGGACACAATTTTTCATTTAATTAGTGACCTTCCTCAGCGTGATAAGACAAAAGGAATCTCTCCCAACTTTCTCCCAGGTTCAAGAGATGGCAGTTCTTCCCACTCTTCTTGATCCCCCCCTTCTGTCACTCCTATATTCAACAGCTGGTGATCCATTAAGGGTCTTGTTTCGTCTTTTCCTGTCTCCGCTATACTATACCTGTATACCTCTCTCTCGTCATGGGACAGTGAGGCCCAGGACCAGCTATCAAGTTGCACCCACAGTCCTCAACATGCAACAAAGCAACCTGAGCCCTGATCACCTCCCTTCTTATAAGAGCAACAGTGCGGTGCAACCTCCAAGCCAGTAGGGGACGCTCATAGCCATCTCAACAGTAGAAGGCAGAGCTTTCCAGACTCCACCCCTTCATATCCTGCAGGGATGATGGGAAATAGGGGTAGGGCTGGAGCTTTAGCAGTTAAATTGCCTTTGAGGAGGTGTCTGTGGAGAAACTGGCTTCACTCTGAGCTCTGGTCTCTGCTCAACAGACACTATCTGGCATGAGACAGATGGCATCTGGCCAGGTACGAGCCAATAATTTTTCTCTTTCTCTCCCTCCCTCTCTCTTACCTCTCCCTTTTCTCACTCCCTGTGTAAATAAATCCTGTTATTGTTGTTTCTCCCCGTGTGTCTGCTTTTGAGTCATGTTCTGCAGGTGACCACATAGATGAGGACCCAACAATTGGGTAAGCTGTAGCTCCCTGGTTTGTCCTGTTTCACTATCAACCAGTGCAGAAACTTCCAGAACCATGGTAGCATTTGATATCACCACTGCCTTAGTGGGAACTAGTAAAAATGCACTCTGGGAAGCCCAGAGAAGGATGTCCCATAATAGAACAAATGACTTGGCAAACAGAGAGCAGACAGAGTCCAGACCCATATATCCCTTGGTTGTCCCGTGAGCAGGACACAAACTACATGACAGTACACTGAAACCTTGGTCATGTTGACTTTATTGCTAGGGGGTGTGTCAGAATTACAGGGTCGCTCCAAGTTAACTTTCTTTTTGAAAAATGGTCAGTTGAGTTTTAAAGTCACTTAAGGGGCACCATGAAAAGCAAATCACCTTTCAAAATGATCCTCCTTACCTGTGCACAAGTTTTAGGTAAAATACAAGGTGCAAAATAAGATGTCTCTGTCTTTATATCAATCACACTGCCATACACAATAATAACAAACTTCATGGTCCTATTATCAATCGTCATTTCATTATAGCTTGACAAAGTCTCCACATATACAAGATTGCACATCACACATTTCTGGAAATTTAGGTCCTAAAATAAAATTACATTTTTCTATAAATCATACAAAATGATACGTGATCTCAAGAAAATAGCAAATTTGGCTGATTTAGCTGAGTTCTTTGAATGTGTCACAATGGCCTCTGACAAGATTCTCAATTCCAAGTTTTTTTTTTTTTTTTTAATTAAATTTGTTTGTTTTCTTGTACTGTTGTTAAATTTCGGACAGTATTTGATTTCTTCCCTCAGGTGTGATCCCCATAGATCTCCCACCACCAATGTAGCATGTACAGGAGCTAAAGGTGCATCTAATGGCTGGAATCTCCTGGATGCACCCAAAATAGGGGCCATCAGGCCACTCTGAACATCTCCAGCCATAGGGAGTGCACGGTGACATGACCCAGCCCTCAGACCTTGGTCCCTACAGGCAAATCAAATATTTAATTGCTGAGGACACCAATACAGCTGAAGTACCAAAATCAAATGAAAATTAGCTAACTTATCTAGAATTTTACAACAAGAAAATCTAAAAAATAATCCATTTTGGTTTTCAAATGCATGTAAATTTCAAGTTATATAATTAAGAGGGTACAACATAATTCTGTTAGGATGTAAGGGTTCTAAAAAGTGTTCATTGGCTAGCTTTTTTATGGAAAATTCTAGAAGAAAATAAACCGAAGTGTTTAAAATAGAGATTTTCTGGGGAATAAAGTCAGGGTGGAAGCTTATTATTTTCTTGTGTTTTTGTAATAAACAAAATAATATAAATAAAATTTATTTTGTAATAAAATAATAATAAAATAAGATGGACATCCATCTTATTATTGAATCAAGTGTGACTCCATAGAACATCACCCTATTTATCCTAATTCTCTCCTTTGGAGTTCTATGTTAAACAACTCTAAACTACTGCTCATGAAAAGGTAAGACAAAAAAAAAAAGAGAAGAAAATAATTCTCCTTACCCTTTTGCTAAATTTTTTCTGAAAATCATTGGCACTGAGTAAAAGAAACATGATTGCTAATATGCTTAATATGATTTGCTAATTATTTTTAAGATTTAATTTTGAGAGCCTTTTTAGGTTCACAGCAAAATTAAGAGAAAGGTACAGAGATATCCCATATACTCCCTGCTGTTGGGGCCTCCCTGCTGGCCCAAGGGTAAAAGTCAGTGCTGTCAAACTATCACCAGCCATTGCTGCACAAGTTCGATCCCTGGCCAGGGAGCTAACCACATGGCACAGCAAACCTCTCCTGTCTCGCCCACTGTGAGACAGTGGATCTGCCTGTTCTGCTCCCCACTCTGTCTCTGGCAAATCCTCTCACCCCTGCAGCTGTGGCCTGTACCCCAGTTTTTGTATACATAAATAAACAAATCTTAAAAAAAAAAAACAAAAAACGCCAAATACTCCCTGCTTTCCACACAGGCATAGCCTCCACTGTTATCAACATGCTCCACTACAGTATATTTGTTATAACTGATGACCTGACACATGATCACCCAACATTCATAGTTTCCTTTAGGGTTCACTCTCAGTCCTGTATATCATGTGGATTTGGAGAAATGTATAATGGCATTTACCCATCATTACACTAACATACAGAGGATTCTCATTACCCTAAAAATTCTTTGTGGTCTCTCTGTTATTCACTCCCCACCCCAACTCCTAGCAACAATTTATCTTTTTTATGGTTTCCATAGTTTTGCCATTTCCAGAATGTCCTATAGTTGGAATCATATAACATGAAGTCTTTTAAGATGGCTTCTTTCAGTTAGAAATGTGCATATAAGTTTCTTCCAGGTCTTTTCACAGTTTGATAGCTCATTTCTTTTCAGTGCTAAATAATATTCAATTGTCTGGATATACCACAGTTTATTTATCCAGTCATCTCTAGAAGGACCTCTTCAATAAGTTATGAATAAAGTTGTTATAAACACTATTGTAGGGTTTTTTGTGGATATTTTGTGTGACATTTATCACTAAGTAAATATCAAGGACCATAATTCTTGGATTGTAGCATAATTCTTGGTAACAGTGTGTTTAGTTTATAAGAAACAGATAAACTATTTTCCAAGGTGGTTGTAGCAGTACCAGTAGTGAGTGAATATGCATTCCTATTGCTGCATAACACTAGCCATTTGGTATTATTATTTTTTTTCTTTTTTTTTTAATTAATAAATTTTATTTTTATATTCCCCATACAATTGCAATCCCCCCATTCTGACCCCTATCCCTCCCCTCCCGCCCCCCACCCCCCAAAAAGTGTCTCTGGTTCATAGTTTTTGTTGATTTTGATTTTCACTTTCTTATAGTTATTCATTTTCCTGGTCCCTTATTTAAGTATTCTAGATTCCTGCTATGAGTGAGACCATCCGGTATTTTTCTTTTTCTTTTTGGCTTATTTCACTGAGCATGATCCCTTCCAGCGCCATCCATGTTGCTGCAAATTACATGTGTTTATCTTTTTTGAATGCTGAGTAATATTCCATGGTATATATGTACCACATCTTCTTGATCCAGTCATCTATTTTTGGGCATTTGGGTTGTTTCCAAAGCTTAGCTGTTGTAAATAGTGCTGCTATAAACATAGGGGTGCAGGTGCTCTTTGGAATTGATGTTTCTGTGTCCTTTGGGTAAATACCTAGGAGTGGAATTGCTGGATCATATGGAAGCTCTATGTTTAGTAGGTCCAGAAATCTCCACACAGCTCTCCATAGTGGTTGGACCAGTTTGCACTCCCACCAACAGTGCAGAAGAGTTCCTTTTTCTCCACAACCTCGCCAACATTTGTTGTTGCTAGTTTTTTTAATATGTGCCATTCTCACTGGTGTAAGATGGTATCTCATGGTAGTTTTGATTTGCATTTCCCTGATTGCAAGTGATGTTGAACATTTTTTCATATGCCTGTTGGCCATTTGCATTTCCTCTTCAGAGAAGTTTCTTTTTAGCTCCTCTGTCCATTTCTTGACTGGATTATTTTCTTTGTTGTTGTTGAGTCTCGTGAGCTCTTTGTAGATTTTTGTGATCAGTCCTTTATCATTAGTGTTGTGTGCAAAAATTTTCTCCCAGTTGGTGGGGTTTCTCTTTGTTTTTGTTATTGTCTCTTTTGCTGTGCAGAAGCTCTTTAATTTGATGTAGTCCCAGCTGTTGATCTTTGCCTTCACTATCACTGCTTTGGGTGAAGTGTCTGTAAAGATGTCTTTGATATGCAAATCACATAGTGTTTCGCCTATATTTCCTTCTATGTATTTTATGGTTTCAGGTCTTATGTCTAGTTCTTTAATCCATTTTGAGTTGATTTTTGTATATGGTGTGAGGTAGTGGTCAAGCTTCATTCTTTTGCATGTAGCGACCCAGTTTTCCCAGCACCATTTATTGAACAAACTTTCTTTGCTCCAATGCATAGTCCTTGCTCCTTTGTCAAATATTAGTTGACCATAAACCTGTGGGTTTATTTCTGGATTTTCTATTCGATTCCATTGGTCTGTATGTCTGTTCTTGTTCCACCATTTGGTATTATTATTAATCTGAATTTTGGACATTCTAGTAGGTGTATAATATCTTATTGTTGTTTTATTTTGTATTTCTCTGATGATATATGATGTGAAGCATCTTTTCATATTTATTTGCAATCTGTATATCTTCTTTGATGAGGTATCTGTCAAGACCTTTGACCTATACTTTAATTGGTTTGTTTTCCTATTGCTGAGTTTTAAGACCTCTTTGTGTATTTCAGATTAACAGTCCTTTATCAGATGTGTTCTTTTGCAAATATTTTCTCTAGTCTATGCTTGTTTTTTCATTCTCTTGAGTTATGTTCGTTTTTAAATTCAAACTAAAATCCAGTCTGTCTATTCAATGAATATTGTTAACTACAGGTCTTTCACCTCCCTAGCTCCTGAGTCCATAGTAGGAGCTCAAATAATTATTAAATAGAATATAAGTATTGTAAATTTTACCAGTGCTAGAACAAACTCAAAACGCTACTATTTTCGAGAAAAAAGTTCACATAAGCGGCTCATTTACTCCAGTAAAGATTTTTTAAAAACAGGAGATTCACATTAACACAGGTAGAGTAGACTATTGTAAACACCAGACTGTTTATTAACCCACTCTGATTAATGCTATGCTTGGTTCTGGGGGAATCTATTTAATATTTGCTTAATTTTTTTTTTTTTTAAATATTAAATTTTATTTTTATATTCCCCCATACAATTGCAAACGCCCCATTCTGACCCCAATCCTTCCCCTCCCGCCCCCCACCCCCCAAAAAGTGTCTCTGGTTCATAGTTTTTTGTTGATTTTGATTTTCACTTTCTTATATTCATTTTCCTGGTCCCTTAATTAAGTTTTCTAGATTCCTGCTATGAGTGAGACCATCCGGTATTTTTCTTTTTCTTTTTGGCTTATTTCGCTGAGCATGATCCCTTCCAGTGCCATCCATGTTGCTGCAAATTGCATGTGTTTATCTTTTTTGAATGCTGAGTAATATTCCATGGTATATATGTACCACATCTTCTTGATCCAGTCATCTATTTTTGGGCATTTGGGTTGTTTCCAAAGCTTAGCTATTGTAAACAGTGCTGCTATAAACATAGGAGTGCAGGTGCTCTTTGGAATTGATGTTTCTGTGTCCTTTGGGTAAATACCTAGGAGTGGAATTGCTGGATCATATGGAAGCTCTATGTTTAGTAGGTCCAGAAATCTCCACACAGCTCTCCATAATGGTTGGACCAGTTTGCACTCCCACCAACAGTGCAGAAGAGTTCCTTTTTCTCCACATCCTCGCCAACATTTGTTGTTGCTAGTTTTTTTAATATGTGCCATTCTCACTGGTGTGAGATGGTATCTCATGGTAGTTTTGATTTGCATTTCCCTGATTACAAGTGATGTTGAACATTTTTTCGTATGTCTGTTGGCCATTTGCATTTCCTCTTCAGAGAAGTTTCTTTTTAGCTCTTCTGCCCATTTTTTGACTGGATTATTTTCTTTGTTGTTGCTGAGTCTCATCAGCTCTTTGCAGATTTTTGTG